AGAGGTCATGGTGGGGAGACCAAGCTTCTGCTCACGGGCCACACTGGCAGATTGAGGGAAGGTTTGTGGGGTCAAAGCACCTGCCTGCCCTCACTGGTGATCCCATGAAGCCAGTGAGGCTCTCAAATTTGAAACTCACTCCCAAACAGTCCCTGGAGAGGCGCTCATGGACCTATAGCTTCTGCAGCCCCCGAATCTGGTCACCTCTGAAAATCACTTTCTCTCCTTGTCACATCTTAACCATAAGCATAGGGAGAGGTCTGTTGCCAGGGCAACTGGCTCTGGGTGGTAAAGCGGCCACCTCCCCTGCCTACAGGCCCCACTGCCCTTTTGGATCTCGCAGAACACAGGTGACCAAGCCCTGAGATTCCTCTCCACCCTGGTCTCCAAGCTTTTGAGTTTGAAAACTCACCAGAGTCCGCTTTTCCTCTGCTCCTTTGAGAGGGGAACATTGTAGAAGACACTTTCACTTTACAGCCTAGGAGTATCTTGCTGGGGACCTGAGAGTTGCCCCCCCTGAGATGGGACCCTCAAGGAAAACTGGCCTCTACAGGAGGAAAAGAGCCTCAGGCTGTAAAACTGCCCCTCCCATGGGGACCAGAGAAAATTCACCATTGGAAGAAGCCATGGCGAGGACTCAGTCCCATGCCACTATTTCTTCCAGTGAAATTGAGCTCAGGCTGAGTTCTGGTCTCTCTCCCCATTGGAATAGTCTGGAATGGTTTCATTCTCTGTGGTGCAAATTTTGCTTCAATCTGGCCATGTTTCCACACCTTCAAAGTGTGGGATTGAGTCCATGCCCCACCCTGATATTCTGCTTTAGGTCAGAGGAGTCCAAACCTGTTGGACTCCGTAAACCTCACAGGGCACTTGTTAATGTCCTGAGCCCACCTCCAGCCTTAGGGACCAGTCTTCCCCATTGGATTCTGTCGTCTACATTCTCACTCAGCATCCTCGGATCATTTTGTGTGTCCATTTGCTGGTCAGGAAAGCCTGAGAAGTTTAACTCGTCAAACCCCAAAGAGTCCAGAGGCAGGGTCCCTACTTAGCAATTTCTCCCAGGCTCTGCTCAAGGTAAAACTCACCACCAGCCACAGCCTCAGGAAATTCTTCTAAAGAACAAAAGATAATCCTGCTGTCCTCACCCATTCTGCACACTTTGACCCCTTCAAAATGGGGGGGGAAAAGAAAAAAAAATTTAACTTGCTGATAAAACTGTTTTTGGTTTATTACCCACCCAGGGCTATGGAAAACTTCAAGGAGATCAGAAAAAAAATAAATAAACAAAGCTTTTTGTCTGCAAAACACTTTCCCCCATTAGAGTGAGACAGAGTGAAGGGCAGTTCAAACAGTCAGACCTAAAGAACAGGGGTGAACCATCAAGGCCACCACTCCAAACAGCTTTACAACTCCTAAGAGACATGGTCAGGGTGGACTCCCAATGAAAGCAGGAGCTGGGCCCATCTTCACCACGTGACTCCACCAGATGTGAGCACCATCCTCAAGGACTCCCCAGCCTCCATACTGCAAGGAATCAATCTGTTCTTGACAAATGGTAATGTCTCAGACATTCAGTGATAGGAGCAGAAAATGGACCAAGACAGGGGCCAGCTCTGCTCCCTGGTTTCATAGGCATTGAGAGCTGAGCCTGCCAAGGTACGGCTCAGAGCATCCTGAAGGTGCCCACACATGCACCCTCACCACACCACGCTCCTGTCTCCGTTGAGTCCACCAGGAGAGCCAGCCTCATCCTCCCTATCATGCGACTGAGCCGGAGGCCAGTGAGGCCTGAACAGCTTCAGGGCAAACAGTTGTCTACCTGCCAGTCTCCCTGCTCCTCGAGGGCAGGCCATCTCCTGGGGGCTCTGAGATCCTGGCCCAGTCTGTCCAGCATGGGCAGTGGTCATCCTCTCAAATGCCGAACTTCAGATTACAGAATCCAGAGGAAAAATGAAACTACAGGAAGGTTGTCTCCCAGGTCAAAATCTTTGGGCGCTTGGCTACCGATCAATATGGGCCAAGGAAAAAACTCAATTTACAAGAAAAAGAAATAGCAGGTGAGGAGAGGCTTGGCAGGTTCTGGAAGATTAACTTATAACATTTGAATGATTTGTATTTTTGAATAAGGCAAATTTGGGCTTTTCAGTAATACTTGTTTCTTCACATTTTTATTGGTGCATTATAGTTGTACCTATTGATGAGATTTCTTTCCTATTTGTACATGCACACAATATAATTCAATCTGGGGTAAGATCTTTACAAAGTAATGTCTTTATATTTATATAAAATATGTATTTATTTTGTTGCAACCCATATATAACATGAATCAAATCTTACAGACAAATGAATGTTGAAAATCTGTCTTCTTCTTACCCTTCCTTACTTTTAGTTCCCTGTTAAAAAACAAGCATCCTCTGTCTCCCCAAACATCATAATGAGTTTACCAATGTATTTCTCTGTCACCTTTAGGCCATTACTGCATCTTCTGCAGATCCTTACAGATGAGGTGTCTTTATTCATCTGTCCTGCTCCCCCAGTGAGTGACAAGGTTGCTTTCAGGTCCCCACCCCTTCCTTGACTCCTTCCCATAAGATGCCAGCATCACTTCTGATCAGCACACTGGTGCCCTGCTCTAGAAAGCAGACACACCTGAGCTGAGAACATCTCATCTCTCCTCCTGTTCTTCCCCTTCTTATCCCCCTCAAACCTCTCTCAGTCACCTCTTTACCTACAACACAGTGGTAAGGTTATTATAGTTTGCACATGATTTTTCAAATCTACCCTAGATTTCAGTGTTTTTCTCCTGAGTTGACTTTCTTGATCGGAAACCAGTGAACTTTCACCTGCAAGAAGCCACTGTCTGTCGATGGGCAAGGTTGAAACCAAGGGCATGACCTCCTCCACCAATGGCACTTATTCCATATTCTTTTCAAGCTCTGAGCTCTTCTTGGACACATTGACTGGACTCAAAGCTGTAATTTAGGAAGGTCTCCATCACTAGGTGAAACCAGTGCTTCACTATGCTGCCATGTGAAAGGTTATTTTCATCTGCTATCTCTTCCTTGGGTCCTTAGGCCACGTGTTAATTTGGCATTGAATTTGGAGGAAATGTTGTATTTTTAACAGCTGCTCCTAGATGTTCTGTAGTAGGTATGGATCCCAGACAATGAGCTCAGTTCTAGAAGAAATGGAAACTTCCTTATTTATATCAGACTCTGTAGCTTAAGTTCTCTTTCAGTGTTTATTGTTCAGAATGTTTGAGGAAATCTTCATGGACTTCATGTCAATTTTCAAATGGATCGTGTCTCGAATGAAGGGATGAGGGTGTGGTGTCTGTCACCATCATGGTATAGTTCTTGGAGAAACTTGTTACCTTCTCCAATTAGTGTGGTGGTTGTTACTTACACTTGTCTTCTAGCCTGGAGGCTCCCCTTTCAAAATCTCCACTTTTCTTTCTCCACTCCTCTTAGGGAGAGACAGGCCAGTGTATATTCGGAGAATATTTTGACCAACTAGGTACAAGTGAAGACTGAGCCATCTGGCCTAGAAATTCTCTGGTATCAATTCCTGAGGGGAAGAAATCTCTTACTATAGTTGTACCATGCTTCCTTTGTGCCCCACAAATTCAGAATTTATGATAATTTTATGATTACATCCTTGCTTAATTGTAGAAGTCAGGTTAAGCTAGTTTACACTGCAGTCACAAATATCTCCATCCTGATCTCAAAAATTTGTTACATCCTATCATTCCACATACCTTTTACAGGATGAGCCACTGTCCTGAAAATTGCTCCTCACATGGGAGTCCAAGTTCTCAGATGGATCTTTAGTTGGCAGCTAGAGCTTTGCTCAGAGATAATGGACATCACTTTCACCTGGATGCCTACAGCTAGTCATAGGATGCACACAACCTAAAGGGGACAGAATGTGCCATCTTCCCATGAGCCTGGGAGATAGACACAGGAACCTTTTGGTGACCCACTCCTGTGTCTGTGGAGCTGCCACTAGATAATGGTGAAAAGAGAGAGAGTAAGAAGAGGAGTGAGGGAGAGTGTGGGCCACAGGCATTCTGGGTCCCAGCAATACCCTGTGATACGAGCTTGCTCAGTGATCTAGAGTATTCTCAAGAAAATCTGCCCAAGAAAGTTCACAAAAATTATGAGTGCAAATTTTATTTTGTGAATATGAAAAAGTAGTTTAATGCATCCTACTGGCTGGTTTGGACACACAGGCTGCTGGCACCTGGGGACTCCTGCTTCTCCATGGGGACTGGCTTTGCTCCTTGAGGTGACTGTTTCTTTCATTAAGCAGTAGAAGTGTGCTCCTGGGGGATAGGACAATGCACTGTCCCCTGCCCACCCAACGGCCTCCACAGGTGCCTGCACTGGCCCTGGCCAACCACAGGCGTTGCTGGTATCAGCAGGTTAGGAAGCCCACTCAGCAGGTTGTCTGGAAGGGACCTTTCCCAGAGGAGACTCGAGCCACACACACCTATGTCTACGGGTGATGCTGGAAATCATCCCCCTGAATTCTTCCCTTACGTAGATAGGCAACATGGTCAGCTGCACATAGGTCAGAGGACACCGTGTTTGTCACACACATCTGTCGACTCTCTTCCCTGTGGGCCAAGACATCAGTGGAAATGGTGCCAGTAAACAGGCTGCAGAACTCCACAGACATGGCCCCCTGGCAAAGGCAGAGTGGAAGGAAGCCCAGCTTCTTTGGCTAGGCATGGTTTTCTCAAAGTTCATCTGCAATGTACCACATGTCAGAACTCCATAGAATATATTGTCATAGAATTCCAGTTTGGGGATATACCACATTTATAGAGCCTTTACCACTTGAAGGGTGTTTGGGCTGTTCCTGCTCTTTGATTACTAGGAGCGATGCTGTTATAAAGAGCTAAATGCCCCCAACCAGTTGTTAATTTAGTCTCACGGGAGCTTCCCAAGTCTTCTACCCAGGCTGCACCTGAAGCTAGAGAAGGAGGCAGGGAAAGGTGGGATGTGGCTCGGTGGTAGAGTGCTTGTCTAGCATTCAAGAAGCCCTGGGTTCAATTCCCAGCACCGCAACAAAAGGAAAAAGAAAAATAATTCTTGGAAACATGGGAGGGAGAGTGAGACAGAAAAAACAAGGTTGAGTCAGATGAGATAAAGAGAAATCCCTTAGTAAATGCTACCAGGCAGCATGATGCAGTTACGTTGCAGACTCAGGGAGGTTCACTGCTGAAAAATCAAAGCGCAATACCCCACAGGCTTAGTGACTCTCTGAGCCCCATAATTCAGAGCTGAGATTATACTCTTTTCCTTTAGTGAGTGTTTCATAGTCAATTTGTTATCAGTAGGGGAATGAGACCCCAGTCTGGGAGCTTTGGTGACATTACAGAGCCTAGCTGCTTCCAGTAAAAATGCAGAGAACAAAGAAGGAATTTTAACCACTTGTGAAAATAAGCCCAGCTGGTTTCAGGAAACCCAGACCAAGACTGTGACTTGCAGGTAAACTCTCAGGCCAGTGAGGGTAGCAGTCACGAGGGAAAAAGGCCAGAGAGGTCCTCAAGCCAGGGGCCACAGAGGAGCATCTCCATGATAGAGTTTGAAAGCGGTAAGAAGGTGGGCTTGGGGCTAAATTGGGAGTCATGTGTTTTTAAATCTCTTAATTGGCAAGTGAATACTTGAGGTCAAATTTAATTTCCAGTAGAGACTTCTGTTTGAGATACAGTAAAGGCAAAACCAAAGCAGCAATATTATGATCCTCAATTAATATAAACTCCCAGAAGCCTGCCCCCAATAACCCACCTCCTCCAGCCATATCCTTCATGTCTACAGTCACCACCTAGTTAATCCCCATCTGCAGATTAGTGCACTGATTAAGTTCAGACTCTCTTAACCCAATCATCTTACTTCTAAACTTTCTTGCATTGCCTCACCCTTGAGCTCTTGGGGGATTCCTCACATCTGAACCTTAACGGAATTTTCGATGGTTTCAGGTAGGGGCTCTGTCCAGTCTGAGGAGGGCCTCATCTTATGTGGAGCCCAGTACAAAACACAGGTGCAGCCACGCCACCCCCACCCATGCTCCCGCCTCCTCTTCTGCAGATGGAGGCGGTGATGCCGCCTAGCTCAAACACCGCCATGCAGTGCAGAGGTCCTCTCAGCCCCCGGGCTCTTCCTGGAACACTGACCATCCTGTCTTGTATGAATGACGTTTTCACATCTGTCCCATCTATCCTCTGTCTCCCAGCATTCTAAAGATAGCATCTGTCTTGGTGAAGGGAAACTTGGGCCTGGGATAAAGACTTAGGTGAAGGTAATTTAGCTTGGGAGGTGGGCCAGGCCAGAGGGAAGGTCTCTGCTGGGGGCAGTGGGGGCTTGCCACCCGCAGGGCCTCTGGGCATCCCAGGAGGCAGGACAAGAGACAGGATCCTTGTGCGACTGTTCCACCCTCCTATGTGGGGAAGGGTCACACATGGAGCATTCTCACTCACACACCTGAGCTGTACACTAAGCAGGAACTGAAGGTGTTCCCCCACCTGTGGGAAAGCCCTGAGATGAAGGAGGAAGTATCGTAGCAGCCACCAGACATGAGATGAGGACCATGTGAATCTCATGGCACCCAACCTACCTGCCCCTGTAGCTGGAACTGAAACCAGAAGTGAGCAGAGGGCCAAGTGTGTGAGCACAGAGTGTGAGTCAGAGTGTGAGCATAGCTCCTGTGGTTTGGCGGGGTGCTCTTCTCCCACAAAAGACCACAGAGCTGGGCCTCCCTGACTCTGTGGTGCCATGCTACTCTCTGGAGTGGGCACCATGGTGATGGAATAAGGAGCTTTGATTCTCTTGGCCTGGGTCACTTGCTTGTCTCTGGAGGACATGCAAGGCATTATTTCCAGGGACAAGGTGAGTGGATGTTGGGTGTCAATGACATAGAAATCCACTGTTATCCACAGATACTCAGAACGAGTGCCTTGATGTGAGTTTAGATCACAAGTTGAGGAGTGTGGCCATTTGGGGTCTAAATTGTGCCTTCCTGGATCCACCCACAACTCTGCTCATCTCTCACTGCCCAGGGCACTCCAGCAAGCTGCGTGACTCCGCCCCCCCACCCCCATATGTGAAGACAGGGACATGAAGTTCACATGGGAGAGCACGTGGTAGAGCCAGCCCGGCGTGGCAAGCTGTGTGTTGAACACATGGTGTTCCACTGTCCCTCCCTTGCCTTCTCTCTTAGTGATATCTTGGATCCTCATCTGGGAAAGGGAAGCCAAATGATCCTTTGCTGGGTCTGATGATTGCTCCTGTCCCCTGGGCACCCACACAGGTGACAAGGGACCCATGGACCATCCAACCTGTGACCCAGGAAACTGATGTCATCCTGCTAGTCAGGGACATGTTCATAGCAGTGCCAGTGTCCTGGGCATTTGCTCTCTGAAGATGCGGGGGCCCCACGCTGCTGCTCAGCGCCTGGTTTGCCACTGGAATAGGTAAATCAGATCGATCGCTCCTCTGTGTATTTCTTCCTTTCAAGCTATTTGTACTTTTTCACCTTCAAAGACACACAATCAATCAAACATGAGTGATTGCTGCAGCAGGTATCAACCATTAGTTTTTTAAACATTGAAGGTTTGGAGGAATCTGCACAAGGCTTTGTAGTAAAGGGTTGAGAAGGACTACCACTCCCAGAGTCGTTTTCCTACGGCCTCTGATGATCTCTGTGCCTGTGTTTAGGATTCAGCCCGCATTTGTACTCACTAAGGATTTTCTTTAATATTCCTAGAAGAATGAAACCGCAGTTAGATCATTTTTAAAATGCATGTTTCAGGGCAGGCCCTGTGTGTCAGAAACTGGGAAGGGGAGGAATTCAAGGCTGTTTCTTCCCCATAATGGAACTCACTCGAGAGCTAAGGATAGGGATCTGAAAGTGCTTATTTGAAAGTAAGTTTCTTAAGGGAAATTGTGATGCAACCTGTCACCCGTGCTGCTTTGAGGATGTGTCCCTGGGAAACCTAGTCTGTGGAAACTGTATGCCTCTGTATTATAGTAAGAAAACTAAAGTGTGCCCACAGGTGAAGACACATAATCACCCCAAAGCAAAAAGGGAAGCCCCAGCAGTCCTGGGCTGCCCACGGCTCCACACAGCAGCAGGAGACCTCCATCACATATTCCTGATTTCCTTGGCTGGTTTCCTACTGACTGGAAATGGCTCAACGGCTTCAAGCCTCACATCCATCCACGAGAGCAGGAAGAGGAGGGAAGACAGAGGGACCTCCACCAACCTCTGACCTCTCTCCCTTCTCATGGAACTCCCCCGAAGCTGCCCACAATTCTCTCATGGATCATTGACAGAATCAGGTGCATAGAGTCCCCCAGACCAAGCACGGCAGACACCATCACATTTAGCCCAAAGGGTAAGACCAAATGCAATTCATATTTGCAGCTTAGGGACAGCGATATCTTCTTTGCGCACCTGAATAATGTTAGGGTGCTGTTTGCATGAGAAAATAAAATAAGTACTATATAAGTGATCCTTGTTATTTCATTACAGTGTTGCCATATGGCCCCAACCTCATTAGGGGGAGTTCCAGAGCCTTCCTCTTGCCTCTTCCTCCTACAACAAATTGCTTAACAACTTGAATAAAGACAAAAAGGAATCCCTTTCCCTTTAAATGCTAAGAAGGAAAGAAACGGCCTCCCATCAGTCTCCTGCTGCCATTGCTCCATGCTGACCCCAGTGTCACTGACCAAGTGTGGCCCATGTAGATCTGCAGCTGCATTGCTCTGTGGCTGCAGGACCCCTGCTGGCATGAGGTTAGACTGTTTTGTGTATCTTGTCTAGATATTGCTTGAGGTGGACACCGCCTGGTCCCCTGCACCAGCCATGGGAAAGCAACCTCCCTGTGGCCTGGGGTTGAGCTCAGTTGTCATCCTCGAGCTAATCTTTTCACAGATTCCTTTATTTAATTAATTGTCCTTGCCTCTTCCTTGACCTTGACTTTCTGGTCCTTCTGAGGGGTCAGGACCCAGGGGATCCACTTTCCCTTCCAGGAGGCATTTGATTCATTTTTGAAAATAATGCCCTCTTTCCAGCAGCCATCTTGTGCATGGTGGAGGAACAGGTAAGGCCTCTTGCTAGTCCAGTAGAATACAAGCACTGTCTTCATGGGAGCCTTCTATTTTTTTTTTTTTTTGTAGCCTTCTCCACAGCAACTGGCTGATAGAAGGAGCCCAGAGTTTTAAATGAATGGATGGTTATCATCATCAGGTCTTGCTGTTTGACACTTTTGAAGCAATGAACATTTATATAATTAAAGGTGAAAATCTAAAAGAACTTTTCCTTGAACAAGAAGGTGCCCTCATGTTGGTTATCTCCCCACATGACCAAAATGTATCAGACAGCTTTCTGTTACTGCCACAACTCCCTGAGATAATCAACTTGTAAAGAAAAAAAGGTTTATTTTGGCTCAGTTTTAGAGGCTTCAGCTCATGATCAACAGACCCCACTGTCTTTGGAAATGTGGTGAGGAGGGACACCACGAAGGCAGTAAAACCACTCCCCTCATGGCCACAGAGGAATAGGTGTGTGTCCCTTACAATCTAGGACCTCCCGCTAGACCCCACATCCCAAAGTTTCTACCATCTCCCAATAGCACTAAGATGGGGACTACGGCTATGACACACGGGCCTCTGTGGGACATTTAAGATCCAAATGATGGCAAAGAATGAGCCTGGAGCAGTTTTAAAAATGCCCCTCGCTGGAGCCACCTCTTACCTTAGTCTTAACCACCCTGTTACACACCGAGGGGCCTCTGAACAGCGGGGCTCTGCTCCCTCAAGTCAGCCCTCCAGGGTCTTCCTGGCTGAGCCATCCCCTCTTGGAAGCTCAGGAGTCCTGGCCATTATCTGGGAGGCAGTACCTGAGTCCAGCTGCTCTTAGGGACTGTCACTCTAGGGACATGGCCTTCTCTTCTCCAGGATGTGGGGATGCCCCTGCACCCTGCAAGCTGCTGTTCCCTCCTTCGGACCCCATTCCCACCATTCCTGCATGGCCCATTCTGCCAATGCTTCAGGTTACAGCTGGG